AACTAAACATGGGCACAGTAACACTATTTTTATACTACATTTATCCATTTTAAATACATTAACCTCACTCATTTGTAACAACTTAGGCAAAAATGTAATTAATTCAGAAAATCTTTTCAGGACCCCACCTTGATGTTTCGGGACCCCACTTTGGGAAACACTGAATCCCACAAAAAAATCCCACAAAAAAGGGGCTAAAAGTTACCTGGAGAGGCCCAAGTCTCCATCAGGAAAAAGACCAGAAGCAGATGAACCGACACACACTGCATCACCACGCTGTAACACACACACACACACACACTAGTTACATTGCTGTATGAATCCTGACTCAGCACTTCTACTTTCTGCTACTTTATCACCTCTGTGTCAAGATAAACATTGAAACATGTAGCTTGTTGTATATTTTAACATAAAAACAAACACAAATCTCAGCAATGAGTGTAACAATGTCCAACAAGAAGAGTTCACCTCAATGCAGCTGACAGTTCATATGAAATAATGATTTTAAATGCTTAAATAAATCATCAAAAATAATAAAACTATCTGGACGGGTTCTCCACGAGACTTCTTCAGTCAGCGGAGTTTCATTTTTAATTTAATTTAAAGGCAAATAAAAACAGGAAGTGACTTTTTAATAATAAATCTCAACAAAAAGAAAAAAATAAGTAGGTCCTCTGGACGGTTCCCGTCCAGAGGACCTACTTATTTTTTTCTTTTTGATTCTTCTGGTTTACTGAGCTGCATCAGACCATTAAATAAATATTCTTACTGGTTCATCTCGTCTCCTGAAGCTCTCCGTCTGCAGTCCTGACAGTCAAACCTGCTGATGAGATGGAAACGACCGCAGGTGTTGTAACCAGTGGAAGAAGATGATCCACATTCCTGCCTCCGGCTCACGACTAAATTCCTCCAGATAAAAATGAAAAACATTTAATCAACTAAAGCTGCGCAGCTGGTTGGGAGGCGGAGCAATCCACTGTCAGGTTTACMTTACCAAACCAGAACATCCACCTGACAACCAGAGGCTCAACGGAGCAAAAAGACCAGCTAAAAGCTAAAATACAAAGAAAGGGCTGTACGGAGTTGAAAGTTTATTTATTTAAGATAAACTCTTCACCAGGTCCTTTTGATTCTGGATGGATCGACAGGAGACACGAGCCATTTCATTTGGCCCACCAGTTGTCCTGGTTACTGGATTGTAATTATGCTAGATTAAATATAAAATACAAGTTACAAGAGACATTTAGATTAGATTTAAGCCCATATCTAGATTTGAACACCTTATAAGACCACACATACTCAAATTTAAATTATGAAAAGTCCCATGAGCCTTTGCTGCCTGAGCATACATTGAATTTTCTCCATGTCCATGGGCTGAAAAAAAGAAGAATGTGGGCAACCACACTGGCTTAATCATAAAAAAATAAAACAATTTTACTTAAGTGTTTGCATTTCTTATATTATTGCATTTGGCCCGCGGCCCTCAGATTGATTTTAATTTTGGCCCTCTCAGGGAAAATGTTTGGGCACCCCTGGTATAAAAAAATATTCTTAATGTTTTTTATTTTTTTATTTTAATCTCCTTTAGAGCTGAAGTTCTCCGTCTGCCTCCTGAGAATCAAACCTGCCGATGATGAGTGTGGAGGAACTAATACTTTTATGTTTAAGCAAGTAATTCATGACAAACTTTAAAGAGTAATTTACCCCAAAATTAACTATTTTTAGCTGATAAACTGTCTAGAATGTGTCTAAAATGTTATATAGTACTGTTTCTGTGCTAATTTTGATGTTTTTGTGTGTATTTGTTCAAATCTGTAA